GAAAGCAAAATTACAACGGCAGCAGGTAGGGATAGAGGTGGAGGTATATCAGGTGAGGGTGGATTAACAGCGGCAACGGTCACAAACGCATTAGAAGCGACAGCATGTGGGAGTTGAAATATAACAGGTTGGGGTGGAGGTAGAGGTTGAGGTATAGCAGGTGGAGGTGGATTAATAGCGGCAACGGTCACCACCGTAGGAGAGGCCGCAACAGGTGAGGGTGGGGTGAGGGTGAAAGTATAGCAAGTTGGGGCGAGGGTGGAGCTATACCTTCTTCTTTGGCTATAACTCCTCCGCCGCGTGAAACACCCAAAATTTTTAGGATTGGTGCTACAAATGTAGCTACGCTCAATCTATAACAAAAGCATCCAACGTCAAAGTTACCGAAATGACTTATTGAAAGCAATCAACAACCTCATTAACTACGCCCAATATTTCCAAAATGGGTATATGGAAGAGAATGGATACTTCTATGACGACCACTAAAAGGTACACAATAACAATGGCTATACCCAGATTGGGGGGAGATATGGTAGATCTTGTAGCTAGGGGTGCTAAGTCGAATGGCCTTAGTGTATTTTTGGCCGAATGGCCTTAGTTTATTTTTGGCCGAATGGCCCTCATGATTTGTTGGCTCTTTTGGTCATAGTTTCACTTAATTTTCTTTGTTGTTTGTTTAGGCCGAATAGCCTCTTTTGGACCAAGTATGATTTGTAAGGCTTTTGCTTGTTGCTTTGGACTTGGTCACTTTTGGACCAAGTAAACTTTGTAGGCTTTATGGCCTTTCTTCTGATGATATACACTTCTTTTTGTTTTTTTTTTCTTTAAAAAAAAAGAAGTAAGAATTTCACTAAATAAATGGTTGTGTGCATATAGAGGACCAACGATATAACTAGAGTTATCCCATTTCACTAAATAATGGTTTTGTGTATATAGAGGACCAACGATATAACTAGAGTTATGTAATACCCACAACCTTATAAATAAAATATATATATGTTTAGTAAATGAGGTCAACAAGTCAAAGCTTATTAAAATTTGATATTAGATAAAATTACTAAATTACCCTTCTCTACCCTTAAAGATTAAGGAATCCCTTGGTCTTGGAGAAAGATATCTTTTAAAAGAAGATAAGGAGAGTTGACTAGAGAGATAGGGGAAGGAAAAATCTTGAAGCTTTGATCTCCATCTTCTTCAAGTTTAGGTCTCAAGTTATTGGGAGTATTCTAGGTGAGTTTGATCTCCATTTTTTTTTCACTCTTTTTGAGTTGGGTTTATCATTTGAGCCCTAAGATTGATGTTTGAAAATATTAGGGATTTTGACAAGGAGTATTTGGGTGAGCTAAATAGCTAAGATTTGGATGTTTTAGGTAAGTGGTTAACTCTTCTCTCCTATTTTGCGAAACCCATGTATAACCTATTTTGAAATCTCTACTATTTTGAATACCCATTTTAGGGTTAGTATGAGTTTAAAATATTTTGGGCTATGATATGTTTTTGGGTCTGAAAATACTGAGCTATGTATTCTGAAGCCTGGATTGAAATTGTTAAGCTGTATTCGGGATTGAATTTGTTTTTGGATCAGTCGGACTGTGTTTTAGACTGGAATATGATGGATTCTGGACGTAAGTTATCACTATGTGTATTGATGGTGGATTGGTTAAGGTGTTGCTGTGTAAGTGGATAGTCATGGGTTTGATTCTACCTGCTAGCATTCTATGTGTTTGTTTTGTATATATTATGCTTACAAAATGGATTATTTTGTTTAAAGTAGGATTGAACCCTTGACCTCATGTTTAATAACTTAAGTTCTTTCCAATAAGCTAGCTCAACTCTTTTGAAATTATTTTAGTGTAATAAACTATTATACGATTTTTAAAGAGTTATGTACTAAGAAAATTATTATTTTGAGAATGGTTTATACCTTGCATATTTCTTAGTTTGATAAACTTATTATCTATTTTGGAAATAGGTACTTTGTTATGTGATTTTAAGGAAATGATTTTTGCTACATCGGGATATTTGATTATAAGAACTATTTTGATTATTTGATCAAACTCATGAGGCAACCTACATTTGTTGTTTGTTTTGTTTGGCTTGGAACGTTCCTAATTGCTCATTCCGAATCGTCGAGCTTGACTCATTCCGAATCGTCGAGTCTTTTGAAGTGTTTGTCGGAACGTTCCATCCGGCTCATTCTGAATCGTCGAGCCTGACTCATTCCGAATCGTCGAGTCTTTTTGGACCATTATACCGATAATGGCATGTGCCACAGAATATAATGGTGGTTGTAGGTTGCCAATGAGTCATATGTTAAGGAATGGTTTGTGCTTTTGAAAGTATTGTATTATGAAATATTGTTGATGCCCATGTAGCTAAAGTTTCTTGTTTTGTGAACTTGTGTATAGTATGATGAGAGTATATTATGACTTCGATATAGTTTAAAGATCGAGTTTTGCATCGAGTTATTACTCTAAAGTTTTTTGTATTGTTTCTGGGTTACTTGATCTGGGGTTGAGAGGAGTATCACTTACTGGGCATTAGCTCATTATTTGTATTTTATTTTCTAATGTTTCAGAGTAGTAAGGACATGTGAATAGCACGAGCACAAGTGGTGGGGTTTCGAAGGTGACTTTTGAAACTTGGAGACTTAGTCCTAGTTTTGGAGCTTATCATGGACTTTTGTTTATTTAGACTTTCCCTTTGACCCTTTGTGTTTTTGGTAGGCCATTGTGCATGGCTTTGGTGCTTGTGATGCATTTTGGACATACTACTCTTGATTGTAAATATCTAAAAGTGGATTTGATGAGTTTTTGGGAAGAATAAGTCGATTATATTTTGTCATTTTGGGTTGTGGAATTATTGTATATTCAAGTGTTATTATGAAGATTCTGAGAGGTATGTATGATTAGGCTTCGTATTGTTACAGGTCTTCACGTAACGATACGGCCGGGTCATGTCCTAGAAGTGGGGCGTGACAAGTTATCCCATTTAGAAAGCATTGGAAATTTGTAGCTAGCTTGGCTTGAAGGGGGCATCACCACGTTGATAGTTGAAAAAAATAAAAGTGTATAGCTAGCAAGGTTTATGCAAAGAGGGAGATGGAGCTAAGCAGATGAAAAAAAGGAAGAAATGAAGAAAAATAATGCACTGAGCTACTGAGTATCCATTGTTGCATCCCTCTATGCCCTGCCTTGCCCTTCCCTTCCATATGTATCAAAAACTTCACTGCACATTGTTGCTTTAAATTTTGTTTTGATCTTCCGTACTATATATATATATATATATATATGTGTGTGTGTGTGTGTGTGTGTGTGTGTGTGTGTGTGTGTGTGTGAGAGTAGTTAGGTTTCTCATGTCTTATGTTTAACATTTTTTTTTTTCAAAAATTGTCTCATGTTTAGCATTAGTTGGCATAAAATGGTAAATCCTAGATTACTATTAAATTAACCTATCAGATTATCCTTATTATGGTCACTAGTAAACTTATCAATAGAAATACTAATGTCATTCATTTTTTACTGAGTGACAAAGTCAAACCTAGGCTCTGATACCTTGAAACATGTGCTTTGATACCAGAGTTATCTAATTTAGAAACTATTGGAAACTTTTGGTCAGCTTTGCTTGAAGGGATGTTACCATGTTGAAATTTGAAAGAAAGAGTACACCGCCTCGCCTCCGACAGTGTCGTCGCCACCTCCAACCTCTGCCGCCGTCGTTCTCTCCCCACCATTAAGCTCATACAGGTTAGTCTTCAATTTTTTATCTAATAATTGAATAGCGTTGTTAAGCAAAGTAGTAAATGATTTACAAGTGACAGATTGATTTTGTTGCTTTTAGCCTCGTCAGTGAGTGCGAAGCCTACGGTTAATGGTGCATTTGTTGCAAAGCTCTCAGAAAAGAATTCTGCTGAGCCCTTGAAGAGAATTTCATTTACTCCAAATCCAATTTTTCTCTCAAGCTCTCAGAAAAGAATTTTGCTGAGTCTTGGAAGGAAATTTCATTTACTCCAAATCTTATTATTCTCTCAAGTAATGCGCTTCTTACCCCTGAAATTTGTAATAATCTAAGTTCTGTGCCTTTAATTTCTGAAAAAGGGGTCTCTGGATTTTCTTGCTCACAACCTGTTTGTGAAAATGTGTCTATAAGTGCAAAATGACAATGCTAACCCTTTTGGTGGAAAACTTGGGAATATATATGTGTATAATGATGTTGGAACGCTAATAATACTACTGTGTGTATGAATTCTGTGAATGTTGCTTAGGTATTAATGTGAATGTGGATGTGAATCCTGTAGATAAATCTCCACAGGACTGATTAGTAATTTCTCTTCTCTAAAATAAAAATTCAACTTTTCTTGATTAATAGAAACTCATTTGGTTGGTTTAATTGTAGATGTACATGCATGCATATGCAGAACATTCATGTCAAATGGAGTAGGCTTTTTATGGGTCTGAATCTTGTACAGTGAACTAGTGAAGTGTACACATTATAATTATTTTTTATCAAATTGAGAAAACATATACTTGTAATGGCGGTTCAAAAATGAAATTCATAAAAATATTGAAGACCTTGGTATAAAGATCTAAACTATTTTACTACTTTTATCATGACGAACAATTTTCTTTTTAGAATGGCATTAATGGCTTAATTTACAAGCAATATTTTAGTATTCGCAAAGTAGAATTTCCTTGTGTGAAAAATAGTATTTTAGAGTGTCATTTCCCTCTTATTGTAACATTTATTCTTTCTTTATTTAGGTCTTCTTGGCCAATATATTGCATGCTTACTATTTGTATGTCCTTATCTTTTCGTTTTTTTTTTTAATTTTTAGTGCTAGTGGACTGCTAAGACATCCTTTGGTAATGGCCACCTGACTTGAAGGAATAGTAGATCTTAATTTAGTTTTGACCTACTTGGAGCTATAGTCTAGTTACTGAGTTATTACTGGCTCAATTAGTTTTGCAAAATTTTTGCGAGATGATAAAGGAATGAGTAAGGGCTTTGGATTCTACATGCAAATTATTAATCTTTTGCATTCTCAATGTTCTTGTTTGCCCATTCATCTACCTAAAAAAATTCAACATGTGTGTAATTTTTAAGTTCATCTTTATTTTCAAAGTCTTTTTTTTTTTTTTTTTGTGTGTTCTAATACTGTGATCTTTTTGGTGCTATGTACTATATATGAACTCCTTAAGCCAAGAGTTGTTACCTTTATTTTGTATCTACTATCTGTTTTTCTTTCTTTTTCAAAAAGATAAAACTCCTGTATTTGTCTTCTGATTAATTATATATACTTGAACTTATTATTAGTGAGCATTTTTTTTTGAAACTTATTATTTTTTGTGATTGTTTGCATCTTTAACTACACACTTCCTCCTATGGTCCAATGTTGGTGGCAGTATGCAGATAATAGTTCGGAGAGATGCGAAGGTATCATGCTGTAGAGTTTATTATCTCTCTTAGCTCTAGACTTCACATTCAGAAAGACTAAGAAATGAATTTATGCTAGAATGATGTTTGGTTGTACTTGTTTGGTTGGGACATTAGAGGATGTAAGGTAATCAAATGTTAAATATTAAATAAGTTAGTTCAATGGGAATCTGTAACTAAAGCAGTAGTAAACTGTACTTATTGATAAAAACTAGAAAAAAGGTTTACTTGTTTGAGTAAGTGATGTAGTTTTAGTTAGCACTCAGAAGTTCAATAATGCATATCAAGGGAAATTTGCTAGCTAAAGCAGTTGATGTGTCAAGTTTACTTTGAAGAAAAAAAACTCTAAATTACCAATATGTGTAACTACATGAAACTGAAGATGAGCTAAGCTTGAAAAAACACAAGAGTTGGCTAAAGTTGAATTAGCTACAGCTAATGCAAGTGAAAAGGCGTCCCAAATTGAAAAGATGGCTGAATTGAAGCAAATCTTCATGTATGACTTCTACCAGTACTAATTCACTGTGAGGATTTCTTTCTTTCCATTGTTGTCTCTTTTCTAGATTAATTAGCTCTACGTCATGTAGTTTGAACAAGTTGATTACGACAAAATGATTATTGATCTTGTGCGTTGACAGTGTATCAGGTTATATAAAGTAGTATGGTTTTGATGATTAGAACTTTGTGAACATTTAGACTTGGTTCTTGGAATTGTATTTTGAAGTATATATTATGACTTGGTGATTGAAATTGGTCATTGAAGTATTTAGACTTGGTAATTAGTTCTTGTGTATTTTGAACCTTATGAACATTGCGTATCTACACTTGGTGATGGTGTTTGGATAAATTATTTTTATTATATGATTATGATTAAAATGTAATCAAGTTAAAAACAACAATTTAAAACCGTTGTCTTTGATATATAAGACAACGGTTAAAAATTGTTGTCTATACTTGAAATTATCGAGAATACAGCAGGTTTTGACAACATACAATAGACAACGGTTAAAAACTGTTGTCTTTTCTAAAAAAGACGACAGTTTAAAACCGTTGTCTATGTGCGCGACTTTTAACAACAGCGGTTTCAAAAACACTCAATAGACAACGGTTTTAATCATTGTCTTTTCTAGGAAAGACAACGATTTTTAACCGTTGTCTATGTGCGTGACTTTTAACAACACCAATTTCAACAACACTCAATAGACAACGGTTCAAAAATCGTTGTCTTTTTTAGAAAAGACAACGTTTTTAACCGTTGTCTATATGCATGACTTTTATCAACACCAGTTTCAACAATACTCAATAGACAACGGTTCAAAAATTGTTGTCTTTTCTAGAAAAGACAACAATTTTTAACCGTTGTCTATTTGCATGACTTTTAACAACACCGGTTTCAACAACACTCAATAGACAAAGGTTCAAAACCGTTTTCTTTTCTAGAAAAGATAACGGTTAAAAAACGTTGTCTATGTGTGTGACTTTTAACAACATCAGTTTCAACAACACTCAATAGACAACGGGTCAAAACCGTTGTCTTTTCTATAAAAATCATTGTCTATGTGCGTGGCTTTTAACAACACCGGTTTCAACAACACTTAATAGACAACGGTTCACAAACTGTTGTTGTTTATAGAAAAGACAATGGTTAAAAACCGTTGTTTATGCGTGGGACTTACAACAACACTGGCTTCAACAACAGAAATTTTACCCCTACGACAACGGTGAAAAACTGTTGTCTATGTGCATTTTTTTTGTAGTGAAAAACCTTATTGGTTCCTTTTAATTTTGTTCTAATCTCTGTACGTACTCGATACCCTTAGCAAGAATGATAGATGAAACTTGGGAAGATTTGGATAACAAGGCACGTTCAACTATTCTTTTGTGTCTGTCTAAAGAGGTTCTACGTGAGGTGGTAAGTGAGACGATTGCGTCAGATTTATGGTCCAAGCTGGATACGCTTTACATGGCCAAAACTCTAGCGAATACACTACGCCTAAAGGAGCGTCTGTACACAATCCGTATGACGGAAGGTACTTCTATTAAGTCTCACTTGGATGAATTCAATTCTATTTTATTGGACTTGGAAAATATATTGATGTCGTAATTGACAATGAGGATCGTGTTGTTTATTGCTTGTCTCGGTCTCTAAATCATACAAGTATTTCAAAGAAATTATGTTGTATGGTAATAGTAGTGATACCCTTACTTTCGACAATAATGTTAAGTCAAACTTATTGTCTAAAGAAAAGTTTGGCTTTGAAATTAAGTCTGAGGACAAAGGTGAAGGCTTGACCATACGGGGGCGTTCACTTGAAATAGAGAGTAACAATAAAAAAATCTAGATCCAAGTCAAAGGACGTAAGTCCAACAAATCATGTGAGTACTGCAAGAAGCATGGTCACGATGTGACTGAATGCTTCAAGCTGAAAACAAGCAAGAGAGAGAAAAGAAGGTCTGCTGAAGCTAGTGTTGTTGAAAGTGATTCAGAAGGCGATGTTATGTTATCTGTTAACTCCGGTTGCAAACGGAGCAAAACTGAGTGGATTCTGGACTCTGGTTGTATATTCCACATGTGTCCTCACAAAAACTGGTTCGTCTCTCTGGAACCGGTTGATGGTGAAGTTGTGTTGCTGGGTAATGATACCCAATGCAAGGTGAGTGGAATTGGAAGTATGCAGATTAAAACTCATGATAACTTTGTCAGGATTCTTACCAATGTTCGGTATATTGCTGATTGAAACACAATCTGATATCATTGGGCACCTTGGAATCTCTGGGGTTCAAGTACATAGCTGAAGGTGGAGTTCTAAAGATCATAAAAGGCTCTCTTGTTCTCATGAAAGCTTCTCGTTCTGGAAGCTTGTGCGTCTTGCATGACAGTACAATGACAGGTTCAGTAGCGGTATCCTCATCGATGTCTGATGCGGATCTCACTCAATTATGGCATATGCGTCTGGGGCATATGAGTGAGAAAGGTATGGATCTCCTGAGCAACAAAGGCCTCCTTGGTGGTTCAGGTACGAGTAAATTACAATTTTGTGAGCATTGTGTTGTTGGGAAACAAAAGAGGGTTAGTTTCTCTATTGCTACACACCGTACCAAAGATGTATTAGAATATATACATTCTGTTTTATGGGGACCAACTAAATTCCAGTTTATGGGAGGTTGTACATATTTTTTGTCTATTATTGATGACTTTTCTTGCAAAGTCTAGGTCTATTTCTTGAAACACAAAAATCATGCATTTTCTATTTTCAAAGAGTGTACAATACTTGTTGAGACTCAGACAGGGAAAAAAGTCAAGAAGCTCAGGACAGACAATGGCTTGGAGTTCTGTGAGTCAGATTTCAATGACTTCTGTGCGACAAATGGAATCACCAGGCACAAGACCTTGCCTGGTAAACCCCAGTAGAATGGTGTTGCCGAACGTATGAACATGACTCTATTGGAAAGAGCTCGTTGTATGCTCTCTAATGCTGGGTTATGGAAACGGTGTGATTTTTGGGCCGAGGCCATTTCTACTGCTTGCTATTTGGTAAATAGATCTCCACATTCATCCCTTGATTTCAAAATTCCAAAGGAAGTTTGGTCAGGTAATCCTGTTGACTACTCTATATTAAGAGTTTTTGGATGTCCTGCATATGCTCATTCCAGTACACGTAAATTAAACCCGAGAGCTGTAAAGTGCATTTTCCTTGGTTATGCTTCTGAATCAAAAGGGTATCGTTTATGGTCTCCTAATTTTCAGAAAATCATTTTGAGTCGAGATATCGCTTTTGATAAAAGGTATGGACGAGGTGTGAAGATTGTAGGAACCGTTAGTAGGAAACCAAATAATAATCAAATAAAATTTGACTATTATTTTTCTGGAAAGAAGGGAAGAGAAGATGAAGAAATTGGCTAGTGTTTGGTGTTGAGTTTTTGCAAGAGTCAAGTGTGCACTCTTTCCTTAAAACCTTATTTGCCACCTCCCAAAAATGGTAGGAGCGTTGTGACCTAGGCTTCCCAGGATAAAACTTGCTAGTGATTCAATGTTTTGAGCATCCAAACAAAGAATCCGGCGAGCAAGACAAGGTCTTGAACACAGTAGGCTTAGAAGAGAAGGAGTAGAAGCAGAGTTTTGAGGCTGGAAAACAAAGTTTCGTGTGCAGTTTTCTGTGTGTAAAAATTGTTGCCTCTACCCTCTCTTATATAGGGTTGAAGGATTAAATAGCTCTTAATAGGGCACTTTAAGGCACCCCCCACTACACCTAGTAACAGCCACCATTACCATGGGTTTGAATTCAAAAATAAAGATTGGAATTAATTCTGTAACAGTAAGAATTCAACCCAACGGTCACAGAGAGCTGTACAGGTGGAAGTTTCGGCCATGTGCCTTGTCTAGTCTCGGCCTCATTGACTCGAGACCACAGTTTCGGCCCATGCACCTCTCGTGGTCTCTGTTGCACGAGAGTTGTGCTCTCGGTGCACCACAACCTCTCGTGCTCTCTTGTAGCACGAGAGTGGTGCTCTCGGGCAAGTGACTATACGGTTGGAAAATGATACCGAAGTTTGGCATAACTTAGCCCGCAAGGCCAGCC